GGCGTAGAGATGATATGACAGTGTAGTAACGAACATGTGACCCTCCGGTAGATATGATATGACCCTCTGGTAGACATGATATGACCCTGGGGTAGAGATGATATGACCCTGTAGCAGAGATGATATGACACTGTGGTAGACATGATATGACCCTGGGATAGAAATGATATGACCCTTGAGTAAAGACGATGTGAGACTGGGGTTGAGATGATATTAACCTGGGGTAGAGATGATATGACCCTGGAGTACAGTTGATATGACCCTGGTGTAGTGATGATATGACCCTCGGATAGAGATGATATGAAACCGGGGTAGAGATGATATGACCCTGGGGTAGAGATGATATGACAGTGCAGTAACGAACATGTGACCCTCCGGTAGAGATGATATGATCCTATGGTAGACATGATATGACCCTGGGGTAGACATGATATGACCCTGTAGTAAAGATGATATGACCCTGTGGAAGAGATGATATCAAACTGGGGTAGAGATTATATGACCCTGGAGTAAAGGTGATATAGCCATTAGTTTGAGATGATATGATATGGTACAAATGATTTGACCCTGTTGTAAAGATGATATGATCCTGGAGTACAGATAATATGACCCTGGGATAGAGATGATATGACCCTGGGGTAGAGATGTTATGACCCTGGGGTAGAGATGATATGAACCTGGAGTAAACATGTTATGACCCTTGGATTGAGACGATATGACACTGGAGTAAAGATGATTGACCCTGGTGTAGTGATGATGACACCGGGATAGAGATGATATAACCCTGGCGTAGAGATGATATGACAGTGTAGTAACGAACATGTGACCCTCCGGTAGAGATGATATGACCCTGGGGTAGAGATGATATGACCCTGGGGTAGACATGATATGACCCTGTAGTAAAGATGATATGATCCTGTGGAAGAGATGATATTAAACTGGGGTAGAGATGATATGACCCTGGAGTACAGATGATATGACCCTGGTGTAGTGATGATATGACCCTCGGATAGAGATGATATGAAACCGGGGTAGAGATCATATGACCCTGGGGTAGAGATGATATGACCAAGTAGTAGAGATGACATGACACTGTGGTAGACATGATATGACCCTGGGATAGAAATGATATGACCCTTGGGTAGAGATATTATGACCCTGGAGTAAAGATGATGTGACCCTGGGGTAGAGATGATATGACCCCGGGGTAGTGATGATATGACCCTGGTTAGAGATGATGTTACCCGCGGGTTGAGATGATATGACCCTGGGGTAAAGATGATATGACCTTGGGCTAGAGATGATATGACCCTGGAGTAAAGATGATGTGACCCTGGGGTAGAGTCGTTCTGACCCTGGACTAAGGATGAAAGACCCTGGGAAAGAGATGATATGACCCTGGGGTAGTGATGATATGACCCTTGGTTTCAGATGATATGAACTTGCAATAAAGATTATATGACCCTGGAGCAAAGATTATGTGACCCTTGAATAGAGAGGATATGACTCTGGGGAAGAGATGATATGACCCTGGAGTAAAGATGACATAACCCTGGGGAAGAGATGATATGACCCTGTGGTAGATATGATATGACCCTGGAGTAAAGATGATATGACCCGGGCGCAGGGATGATATGACCCTGTGGTAGACATGATATGACCCTGGGGTAGAGATGATATGACCCTGTAGTAGAGATGATATGACACTGTGGTAGACATGATATGACCCTGGGATAGAAATGATATAACCTTTGGGTAGAGATATTATGACCCTGGAGTAAAGATGATGTGACCCTGGGGTAGAGATGATATGACCCCGGGGTAGTGATGATATGACCCTGGTTAGAGATGATGTGACCTGCGGGTTGAGATGATATGACCCTGGGGTAAAGATGATATGACCTTGGGCTAGAGATGATATGACCCTGGAGTAAAGATGATGTGACCCTGGGGTAGAGTCGTTCTGACCCTGGACTAAGGATGAAAGACCCTGGGAAAGAGATGATATGACCCTGGGGTAGTGATGATATGACCCTTGGTTTCAGATGATATGAACTTGCAATAAAGATTATATGACCCTGGAGCAAAGATTATGTGACCCTTGAATAGAGAGGATATGACTCTGGGGAAGAGATGATATGACCCTGGAGTAAAGATGACATAACCCTGGGGAAGAGATGATATGACCCTGTGGTAGATATGGTATGACCCTGGAGTAAAGATGATATGACCCGGGCGCAGGGATGATATGACCCTGGGGTAGAGATGGCATGATCCTGGAGTAGACATGATATGACCCTTGACTAAGGATGACATGACCCTGGGGTTGAGATGATATGACCCTGGAGTGAAGACGATGTGACCCCGGGGTAGAGATGCTATGACACTGGGGTAGAGAAGCTATGACACTCGGGTAGAGATGATATGATCCTGGGGTAGAGATTATATGGCCCTTGGATAGAGATGATATGTCCCTGGGCAAGACATCATATAACACTTGAATGGGTTAGAGATAATTTTGCCCTTGGGTAGAGATGATATAACCCTGAAGTAAAGATGATATGACCCTGGGATAGAAATGGTATGATACTGGGGTAGAGATGATATGACCCTTGGGAAGAGATGATGTGACCCTAGGGTAGAGATGAAATGACCCCTTGGGAAGAGATAATATGACCCTGGGGTAGAGATGAAATGACCCTCGAGTAAAGATGATGTTACACTGGGGTAGAGATGATATGACACTGGGGTAGAGATGATATGACCCTGGGGTAGAGATAATATGACCCTGGACTAAAGATGACATGACCGTCGGGTAGAGATGATATGATCTGGGGGTAGAGATTATATGGCCCTTGGATAGAGATGATATGTCCCTGGGCAAGACATCATATAACACTTGAATGGGTTAGAGATAATTTTGCCCTTGGGTAGAGATGATATAACCCTGAAGTAAAGATGATATGACCCTGGGATAGAAATCGTATGACCCTGGGGTAGAGGTGATCTGACCCTTGTGTAGAGATGATATGACCCTGGACTAAAGATGATATGACCCTGTAGTAAAGATGATGTGACCATGAAGTAAAGATGATGTTACCCTGGGATAGATATGACCCTAGAGTTAAGATGATGTGACCCTAGGAATCAGATGATATGACCCTGTAGTAAAGATGATATGACTCTTGGGTAGAGGTGTTCTGACCCTGAACTAAGGATGATATGGCCCTGGGACAGAGATGATATGACCCTGGGGTAGTGATGATATGACCCTGGGGTAGAGATGATATGACCCTGGAGTAAAGATGATATGACCTTAGGGTAGAGATGTTCTGACCCTGGACTAAGGATGATATGGCGCTTGGATAGTGATGATATCTCCCTGAAGTAAAGATGATATGACCCTCTGGTAAAGAAGATGTGACACTGGAGTAGAGATGACATGACCCTGGGGTAGAGATGATATGACCATGGAATAAAGATGATGTGACCCGGGGATGGAGATGATATGACCCTGGGGTAAAGATGATATGACCCTGGGCTAGAGATGATATGACCCTAGAGTAAAGATGATGTGACTCTGGGGTAGAGATGTTCTGACCCTGGACTAAGGATGATATGGCCCTGGGATAGAGATGATATCTCCCTGAAGTAAAGATGATATGACCCTGAAGTAAATATGATGTGACCCTGGGGTAGTGATGATTTGACCCTGGCGTAAAGATGATATGACCCTGGGGTAGAGATGATATGACAGATATGATATAACCCTTGAGTAAAGGTGATAGGGCCATTGGTTTGAGATGATATGATATGGTACAGATGATATGACCCTGTAGCAAAGATGATATGATCCTGAAGTAAAGATGATATGACCCTGGGATAGAGATGATATGGCCCTGGGGTAGAGATGATATGACCCTGGAGTAGAGATGATATGACCCTGGCGTAGAGATGATATGACCATGGAATAAAGATGATGTGACCCGGGGGAGGAGATGATATGACCCTTGGGTAAAGATGATATGACCCTGGGCTAGTGATGATATGACCCTGGAGTAAAGATGATGTGACCCTGGGGTAGAGATGTTCTAACCCTGGACTAAGGACGATATGACTCTGGGATAGAGATTATATCACACTGAAGTAAAGATGATATGACCCTAAAGTAAAGATGATATGACCCTGTGGTTAAGAAGATGTGACACTGGAGTAGAGATGACATGACCATGGGGTAGAGATGATATGACCCTGGCGTAGAGATGATATGACCCTGGAATAAAGGTGATGTGACCCGGGGGTGGAGATGATATGACCCTGGGGTAAAGATGATATGACCCTGGGCTAGAGATATTATGACCCTGGAGTAAAGATGATGTGACTCTGGGGTAGAGGTGTTCTGACCCTGGACTAAGGATGATATGGCCCTGGGACAGAGATGATATGACCCTGGGGTAGTGATATGACCCTGGGGTACAGATGATTTGACCCTGTAGTAAAGATGATGTGACCCTGGGATAGAGAAGATATGACGATGAAGTAAAGATGACATGACCCTATGATAGAGATGATAAGACCCTAAATTAAAGATGATGTGACCCTATGATAGAGATGATATTGCCCTGTAGTAAAGATGATATCACCCTGGGATAGAGATGCTATGACCTTCAAGTAAAGATGATGTTACCCCGGTGTGGAGATGATATGACGCTGAAGTAAAGATGATGTGTCCCTGTAGTAAAGATGATGTGACACTGGGATAGAGATGATATGACCCTGTAGTAAAGATGATGTGTCCCTGGGGCAGTGATGATATGACCCTGGGGTAGAGATATGAGCCTGAAGTAAAGATGCTTTGACTCTGTAGTAAAGATGATGTGACACTGTAGTGGAGATGATGTGACCCTGGGGTAGAGATGATCTGACCCTGGAGCAAAGATGATATGACGCAGTTATAAAACGTGTTTCGTCATCGTAATAAACCCATCTGATCTCCTCACCCCATGTCAGCTGTATCCATCCTGCTAACGCCACCACAACGAGTATCCTGTCACCCGCCATGTTGAACAACGAGGAAGTGAAATACCCTGTCAAACTGTGTTAAACGTTACGCTGACTGCACATCTACTGTGTGGTGTATATACACTTGCAGCGATGTAACTCCATTGTGTGTTTTAAGTTATGAAGTTTTCAATTTATAACAGCATTGGGTTAAGACAGATCACTTAACGACATATATCTCATGATCAGTTAGGACTCGGAAATAATATTTCCATTATCCGTAACAGAATACTTCATACCGACATTGCCTTTATATACTTCGTCATTTTCACAACGAGGGACTAACCTAATATGCTATTATTTCAATTTACAAAATAGCAGACAAGTAATGATTGCAGATTAGATGTGCATTACTACGTTACGTTTCAGAAGGAATTCAAATCAGCACTTGTGTAGCACTAACATAGTTATAATGTGTTTTCCGCACTGTCGCGAAATGTGTGCATGTTTTAATTAAGCGCCATTTGATGGTATACTGTTAGAGGATTGCGACACTATCGCGGCATCATAACAGTATAACATAGTAATCGTGTGTTCAGTTATACTTAAAAATATGGTATTCTTTTTATTTAAAATACGCGACTGAGGCTAGAACAGTTCTACTTACACATATTTTACAGGGATAACACGTTTTACTGAACATGTGTAGCGTTCGTGCATGTGTGTCGTTGTTCGTGCAGCCCTTCGTGTCACCGTGTTCATGACCCGTGACGATACAGAGAATAGGCCTCAGCAACTCATGGTTTCCGGAAGAGGTACCTGACGGGATCGGTGGTCAGGATTGACGACTGAGTTGATGCACGTCATCGTATCCCAATTTGTGTAGATCGATGCTCGTGATGTCAATCACTGGATTGTCTTCTCCAGATTCGAATATTTACAGACCGCCGCCATATAGCTATAATATCCCTGGGTGCGGCGTTAAACAACTATCAAACAAACTAAGTTCTTTCCGTTAGTGCACATATTCCTTTCATTTCCTCTCTTCAGTGATGTACACATATCACGACAGACAAAACTACGAAAGTTGCTAAATGTTGTAATCAAACTCATAACCTGCCGTGATACCTTTGTTCTCAGACAAAGCTGCAATTTCCTTCTCGGAACATGTTTCCTTCATAGTCTGTGGATTAAATCTTTGTATTTACTGTTCTTGGGATACTTCCCGTAAAAGGGAAACGAGTCCTTTACATACAGACAGGAGAATATCCGCGCCTATACACAGCAGACGCAATTCATAAAGTAGTTTTTAGTTTCAACAAAACAAGCAAATATGCTGTGATGTAACAAGTTTTTCCGGTCCATCACTTGATTGGTTTGGTTGCAGGCTGCCTTCGCATGACATGAGTATTGCTGTGCGGCCTCAGAAAAAAAAAACACTAACTATTTTATGCAAATCGTGTACATGGCGCATGCTCCCGGTACGGTACAATACGCTTACCCTTTTTGCTAACACCTGTCATCATTGATTTTCAGTGATCCATTCATATAATTTTCACCCCTATTTTGCCCTTTGCCCTTTGCCCTATGTAACCTGCTTCGTCGGAAAATTGACACTGTTTGTTCTCTGACGTTGCGTGTTATATTAAACAGTTCTTTGGGAGAGACCGGCGCCTGGACACATCAGGACAGAGGAGAATGGATCTCAACTGGTAATAATATGGAATTACTCCTTGGTGGGAGCTGTTGAACCCTGGCCAGGCAATCATGTGCTCGTGTGCAGGTGGCCATATATATTGTCCAACAGATATATCGATATTGATCCCACAGGCACTGTGGCTTCCGAGGGGCAGTCAGAGTGGAGTTCACGCGACGTCTATTAAAAAGTGACCGGAGCGTTTGATCTCGTCTCCATGCATTATAGGAATAAACACACATGAGGCTTCCTGAGATAGAACTAGCTTTATTTCTGACACAAGCAGTCACAATTCACGTCCTAGTTCATTGTAACTGGACCTATATCCGCTTGTGATGTATGCGATTTATACCTCTCGTAAAATGTGTACAGAGCAGCTCCTGATCATGATCCATGATCTTCTCTTTCAAAATACACCCCTCTTTAATCCTGTTGTGTATAACAATGAGCCATGTCAACTCAATGTCATTGGTCAATTTTCGTTTTTTGACAAAGGCAGTATCATTGTGTGAATGTTATCCTTGTAAAAGCTTATATTCAGAGTGTGCTGAGTGCATAATAATCAGATTCTTGTTATAAGCAATCGCATATATCAAAGGATGCTGAGAATTTCCTTGAAGTTGCAAAAAGAATTGTTTTTCTATTGACGTGCCCCATGCTCCTGGATGTCCAAAGTAAGCTGTGTTTCATAAGGTGATGGTTACATGAGTGTAATGCTATGTATGCTAAAATATCTTAACATGAACACCTGTTTGGTTACAAGAAATTAATCTCCAATAATATCGTCATTGGATAAAAAGAGTCTCTTAAGAAGTATACCAGCAAGTCAGTCACAGTGATGCATTTACATCAAATACAGTACACCAAAGGACCGACACGACACACGTGACGAGAGAGATTTCCTAAGTTCCTATGTCAACCTGTGGCGATACATATCATTAACAAGTTGGTCGATTATTGGAAAGGGATTATAAAGATGTGTCAAATAGATACTAAGGTAAACTGAAAGATTGCTTTAGATACTTGTCAGTGTAGAAACGGACAAAGTCCTTAGCTTGGACCTGTATTTCTTCATTTTGTTCACTAGGATGAATTGTGGGGAAGATATTCTTGAACGGGCATGCAGTCATCCCAATGTATGTGTAGCGGCCATTGTGGACCTTCTGATCCGTGGTCGGATGCCTTGTCAACATGACCATAGAGGTTAACCCCGTCAGAAAGTTGACAGGGTAAGGATGTCAATCTGTTGGATGACTCCACGTACTGCTACATATGCTAACACACTAAATTAAAAACAACAACAATGTTTCTGTATTTATTTGTGATGGGGAGTTCTCAGCTGTTTCGTTAGGAGTCCGTCCGTCAGTGTTTACGTCATTTTAAGAATACAACTTCCTCGTTAACGTATGGACGTCATGTGATGGACCACTCGCCCAGTGAAAAAGCCGTATGTTGTGTAAACGTATTATGGTGTAAAAAGATATGTTGTCGACTTAATTCTTTGGTATGTGTGAATGGAGCTTAGAATGATATCAAACGTTAGAAGCATATGCTGCAACATAAGCATGAACGATGGAGAAAATACAGCTAAATCTCATCAGTGAAATTCAGCATCTCTTTATGGTCATCACGGCTCCAAGACAGAATGGGTAAGAAACCTCTTGTCATTGTCGAGATTCTTTATTATTCCGACGTAGTTTGTACCATCTGTAACTGAAGGCAGACTCTTTGTTTGGTTGGGATGCAGAATTGTATGGGTCAGTGGATATGACAAAGGTCCCATGTGTCTTGGACGAGGAGCGATAGTTTCTTTATTAATATCTATAGAAAGTTCACACTGATATCAGTTGCAGACCTTGCTGCTTTCAACATCTATTAATTTTGAAATGCGTCAAATGTCATGTGTGGCAGCTATATTAGATTCAAGATAAGAACTGTGGTTTCTTGACGTACATGTACATGTCTACAGAAATCAAACTTTCCACAATTAAACTCTACTTCAAAACAATCTTTTACGAATATTTGAAAATGTTTTGTTGTGAGTATATTGTATTTCACTTTGACTGCAGTATTGTTCTGATACATTTTCTCATCAATATATTTTTGTGGCTATTCGAGAAAAAGTTGTCCAATTCTATCCAAACAGTTTCTTGACGTACATGTACATGTCTACAGAAATCAAACTTTTCACAATTAAACTCTACTTCAAAACAATTTTTTACGAATATTTGAAAATGTTTTGTTGTGACTATATTGTATTTCACTTTGACTGCAGTATTGTTCTGATACATTTTCTCATCAATATATTTTTGTTGTCCAATTTTATCCAAAGCTTCTTTTGTGTATGTAGACTGTAAGTTTCAAGCACATGAAAAAGACATTCGTCTAGATTTGTCTGTTGACACCCGTACCCGCTCATCTAATATCGGCCATATTTGCATGTGTCTTCATTTTAAGATGCTTGTGATTTTATGCTGTTTGACTGCAATGTTTGACTTCATGATATCGGGTTACAATCTCTGCGTATTCTGCATATTATTTTGTTTCCGTTCACGTACCAGCTGACATGCTTCCAAACAAACTCAGATGAATGGTGTCCATATATCGTACATAAATATCCTTTTCCTTAAGTTGTGCCCAATTTTGACATGTATTAAATTTCTTGAATCTCAAGTTTCTCGGTCAAGGCAATAGACATTCCACTTTTTAAACTCCCAGCCTTTAAACGTAATTGCGATGACATCTACAAACAGCTATCTAGGGCGCGAAAGACTAGTTTTAATGGTCAGAAAAGTATCATACCTGATGGGAAAGGAAAACTATCATCAAATCCCGAATTATTTCTATGGAAATAGTGTTTGGGCACTTTCCGACTAAAATCAAACTTGTTCAAATATCTAAACTCTTTGTTGTTGCAATTTAAATTTGCAAACCAAGAAGAGATTCCTATTCGTATGCATTAAGATGAACAGATCACAAGAAGGGGAGAACAATTGGTTCCCGAGGGAATGCCTACTTCCTGGCTACATTTCTTACACCCCACCCCCAACTCCCACATTTTACTTACACATTTTCAATGAGGATATCCAGCATTTCATGTATTGTTTTCTCGGTATACCTCAGATCCCATTTACATTCATTTCGGGCAAATTGTCCGAAAACCTCCGAAGAAAAAGATGTAAATATTGTGCCAGAACTGAATTTGGCTCTTTTCGAGACTGCTTACCTTCAAGCAAATCTTTCGACTTTTGGAATATGTACATGGTATTAATTCCAGTTGCCACAGATAAATACTGTTAATATGAAGTAAGGCCTTCCTTGATTGTAAGGATTATGGTAAATCTTCGAGACAGGAGTTTTGTGGTACATTTTCTGGACCCAGGAATATACTTCTTTTCGTACGGAATTTTATAGACCTTTGGTGTCCAACACAAAAGAGGAAATAAAACTTTTACCCAGTTCTTTGATCAAACTCTTAAGGTTGTGATGTTTAGATATAATGGTTTCGGAGGCATTGTCAGTGGGAACAACTATAAACCTTACAGGACAAACTTTGGACGACAGCTTGACGGGACAGAATGGAATTATTCCAATTCCGTTCACTTTTTTGAGTTTGTGCATTCTACTAATGACAATATCACCCATTGACTAAATCCACTCTAAACAGTCTAAAGGTTCATCTTCTCCTTTGGTTCATTGTTGGGCTTATCTTTTGACAACATTCATAATGGTTTTCAAACTGTGATCCCAACTGGTATTAAGATGCTCGCGATAGTGCGGTCCATATGTGAATAGTGAGTGAGTCAGAATGGTTTTTAGCAATATCACGGCGGGGGACACCAAATGGGCTTCAGACATAGTATCCGGGCTTTCGGCCCCACCGCCCTGTGTGTGTGTGTGTGTGTGTGTGTGTGTGTCTGCGTGTGCTAGTCCGGACTAATACCGATTTTATAGTACTAGCCTACTGAGATACCATGCCGCAGTTTTACAAAAAAATACTCCACTCAGACACAACTAACTTACTCCGGGCAAAACAGTGCTGAGTTTAAACCTCTTAACGCCGAGCGCCAGGCAGTGTCACACGTACCATCTTTTAACATCTTTTGATATGACGCTGCAAAGGATCGAGCCCCGGACCTTCCGCTCTCCGGGCGGACGCTCTACCACTAGGCCGCGGAGGCGGTGCTTCAATAGAGAAGTCACCTGTGATTATACAGAGTCGTAGTAGTATGAGTCTTGGCAGCCACAAGTTGTGGAATTTACATCATGAGCTCCCAAGTACACGTTCTGCAACATGTGCCTATAACTTGGATGAAATGGTGTTCGTATAGGAAAATGACCAGTGAAGATCCGGGGTAGAATAGGTCTTCAGCAAACCATGCTTGCCGTGAAAGGCGACTATGCTTGTCGTAAGAGGCGACTAACGGGATCGGGTGGTCAGGCACGCTGACTTAGTTGATGCATGTCATCGATCCCAATCGCGTGGATCGATGTTCATGATGTAAATCACTGGATTGTCTGGTCCGGACTCGATTAGCTGAAATATTGCTTTGTGCAACGTACAACAACAAACCAAACCCAAAATATCAGTGTATGCATGCTTATTATATGCTTCAGTGTGAAAGACTCAGAAAAGTAATATTTTCATTGCAGTGAACACAACAATCGATATTTCACTGCAGGGAAATAATCTCTATTTATCGTAAGTGTCGAGCCCGTACACAATCTGTTGACGTTATTCACATGTGTAACGTAGATGTGTCACTACATGTCGAAGTCACTTAAAACATGTGACATGCATGTCAGTTAACTAATTCTTATACGAATGACGCACATCGTACATGGCGGAATGACGCCAACCCTGTTGACATCATCTTAATATGCAATGACAGATTGTTTTGTTCTCGAGCCATATAGACAACATAATGTTTGAAAAGAACTACCAGTCACGAGAAAATGTAAAGAATTGACACTTGATGCATGTAGTGATATGAATTAGATTTTATACTCCTTACATGTATGTGCATTTACACATTATATTGTGCGTTACTAAAGAAAAAAACACTACATAGGGTTGTAACATCATCATATAATATCCAGTCCAGTAATTAAATTGGAATGAAATAGATGACAACAAATGTAAGACAAGTTCGTGGTTGTTTAAAGTTCAATTCAAAGTATGTTTTGTCACAACAAAGCTGAATAATTCATAGTGATCATTCACAAGACTTTATAATTTGTTGTCCTGTATACTTCTTAATTGTGCTTATGTCCTAAGCTTTCAGTACAATATAACTTTGTATTCTCGTTTCCAGCTCATTGAAAATACGGTATATGTTACCAACAACCATGTCCACGTGCATTAGCTGTATTGCAGAAAACCTAGACGCATTAAACAGAAAAATATTGCAGATTCCTACTGTAAGTTAGCAAATGCTTTAAAAGTTGGCATAAAGTCCACGAGATTCCAGTCGACGTTGAGCGAACTCCAAACACCTACGCACATCGTCCTGGAAGTGAAGCCAACACGTAAGAACTATAGGGTCTGGAAACAGAGTCCTTATTATGGTGTCACAACATAAGCATGGAGTCGAATTACTCACGTTAACGAAAAACAATGGTTACTGGTAAGCCACACACGAGTTCTAACTTCAAAATGATTTTTTATCAATCATGAATGTGTTGGATCTACGCTGCCTTCCACCTAAATTAACCCGTACTTGCATTCCAGATATTAAGACAGATGATGATGAGGTTGTGACTGTGTCCTACCTGGGAGAATGGCGGTCCACCAAGACTTGATTGTAGACGTCGCATGTTGCTGATGACGTCAACCCTGCCGTCATCCTTCTGTCTGCTGGCGATGTTCATCAGGAGGACCAGGAGCCTAGCCTCGCTTACAGACCTGCAGTAAAGTGTCAGTACTCATTCACATGTACATGCAAAACAGATGTGAGGATGTGAGATGCAGCAAATTGGCAATACCCGCTGACATGTACGGAAAAGAAAACGATTTTTTATGGTGGTAGGGAAAAAACCAAACAGGGACATAAAACAGAGTATTTACAGTATTGAAATGATGCACCTTGTACTGTTTGAGTTTAACTTTGATAGGTTTTTTTATAACATGAATGATTATATACACACATCTTTATAGGATAAAAAAGATAAAAGTGAGTTGAAATATTTGTAATAACCCAAACGAGTCCCAACAAGATGACTGCAATTTCGCAATTAATTTAGCTGAATACTTTGATATTTACATAGCCTCATATCAGGACAAATTAAGTGCAATACTGAGCTAATCACGTAGTTGTTTTGATACATGCAACTCCCTGTGTGAATATGGTTCAATACGACATGATACGACATTTCATTGTTTGTGACATAACTCATGCCTCAACGACAGTTTGTATAGGATCAGTGTATATATGGAGAAATATATTACTACGGTATGAAATCACTATCAAATGAGATTAATGATATTCAAGTTCATATCATGGTGGACCCGTGAAGATCCGGGGTAGAATAGGTCTTAAGCAACCCATGCTTGCCGTAAAAGCCGACTATGCTTGTCGTAAGAGGCGACTAACGGGATCGGGTGGTTAGGCTTGCTGACTTGGTCGATGCATGTCATCGATCCCAATCGCGTGGATCGATGTTTATGATGTCAATGACTGTATTGTCTTCTCCAGACTCGATTATTTACAGACCGCCGTCATATAGCTGAAATATTGCTGAGTGCGACGTTAAACAACAAACTAACCAACACCATATCATGGTGATCCGAAACCTTTGATTTACTATCTCTCATCCTTCAGACACATGGTAAATAATATATAATGTTCACATGTCAAACTGCAGAGAGACAGTGTTTTTACAAACTGGGCAAATAGAACTAAAGATGAACAATGGTCTTATATAATTAAAGTGGCGAAACCGCATTATCGGTGGTTCGAGAAGGGAGCTAACTCCGTTTGCCTAATCGAAAGTTCGACGTGGGCCCACATTCGAAACTAAACGCACTTGTTGTTGAGAATATATACTACGTAAACAAACCCGCATAACGAACTCATAATTTGTCTATTTAAAATAAGTATTATGACTTATAATTGGATTAAAATGTACAAATAAGATGGCAATACAGCAGAACTCACTTCTACGAACATCGCCAAACTAGGTCGTGGGGTTATTAATATTCATGAGTTATTCCTTTTATGGAACAAGTTCTCGGAAACGTCTGAGGCTTGTATCATGTCCGAGATCAATTCAAGTGTAGACATATGTTCAGGCTTATATCGCCACCAACACTTATGATAAGTTTGATGTGTTATACTGGAAAAGGTAGAATGAGTGGTATTGCCTCTTTAATTGTAATTTGAAGTAGATTTAAGTTTCTTGCTTGGTAGCTATTTTTGTAAAACTAGTGTGGTCAGCTATGACGCAGTTATTCAAACTTCACAGACTTTTGTGCCTTTTATGGAATTAATGTCACACGAAATGATTTATAAAGATATTTCCCATCAATATTACAAAATATGAATAATATAAAATGTCACATAATGACAAACGTGAGCCCAATAGCCTAAATGACTTCGTCAACCTTATGAAACCCAGCGATTTAAAAATGTGGGCCCACCTGTTTCGATCACTATAAGACGGGAACAATGTGGGCCCACGTTTTAGAAAATGGTTATAAGTAAGCAAAGCTAATGAAGCTAGCGATTTTTTAATGTGGTCCCTCCTTTTGCAATCACTATGACGGAAGAACGTCTACCCACTAGGCGATATACAAATGTGGGCCCACTTGTTTCGATCACCATATATGACGGGAACAATGTGGGCCCACATTTGAGATAATGATTATCAATATTTAAGTAGAATTTCGCGATTATTAAATGTGGTCCCTCCTGTTGCAATCAATATGACGGAAGAACGTCTGCCCACATTTAGGGATTGATTATCAGAACTAACGAAACAACCTAACGAAGCTAGGCGAAATACAAATGTGGGCCCACTTGTTTCGATCACCATAGATGACGGGAAAAATGTGGGCCCACATTTTAGAAAATGGTTATCACCACTAAACCAATCTTAGAAGATGTACTGATGGAAACATAAATATATAATGCATTCAAACATTTAAATACCTTACGTTTTACCTTAGGGATAAGCTGGGCATTTAATAGCTGGACCAACAACGTGCAGCGTGGGTGACGCCATTTCTCGCAAATACGAAAACAACGGAGATAGCTCCCGTTTGAAATTAGAGTGACCTCCCTTTCCCAATATGAACCACTGATAATGCGGTTTCGCCATTAAAGTAGATAGTTCTTTTCAGGTGACGACATGGAAAGATGAGAAGAAAATATTCTTACTGTGACACAATTGTGCAAGAGCCTCGTTGTTGGTCACTCGTCGACGTCAGTAAGCTATCAATCAACAGAGTGACGCTTGGGTCACGTGTACTTCCGGTCAAATGATAGTGTTGAATGGGTGTGGTGACATCAACACCCTAAAACACAGGTCTCATTAATATATATCAACACAATACAGAAATATACTATTCTATATAACAGTCATAGACTCAGTTAGCAATCTTTCAGTAATATCACGGCGGGCGACAAAAGAAATGGGCTGCACACATTTCTTGTATAAAGTTTATGAACTGAATGTTCCCTTCAGCAGTTGGTGAACTGCTTCATCTTGCCATATACATGTATGTACATACCCGAGTGAATGAGGAATGCTTAAAAGTGTGAATATCATAGTTATCAACTATTTGCATGTTTACCACTCTTCTAGAAGCATCAACTTTGTCAACATTGACTTCCTTTTTACCTATGTTTTCTTTCCTTTGACTGTTATATTTGGATCCATAATAATCACAATTTCATTTCAACTTAGCAAAAGAGCCGGCCTTACATTTACTGTAAGATCAATAGTGTTGAGGATAACATCATTCGATATAACTTTAGATGTTTGCATGCTTGCTGTCAGCCTCGACGTGGACACAGGTCTGTCGGTCGACGGGAGGTTGATCTGCAAGGCAATCAGTGTCAACGTTAGTGACTGTTGCCTTTTCAGGACCTTCATTTGAGAGTACATGAAGAATCTGCTGGCATTCATCTCGACGGACGAAAACTCATTGGAAGCAAGTTAATGTTAAATTGGGTTCCACAAATGGTCTTGTCAACAGATGATGGCATTTCACAAAATATTTCAGAAATATACCTACCAACTGATCTGAAGCCCACGTGATCAAGGTCCTTGAGTCGTTGTTATACACCTGATTCCACACTTCCTCTTTGTCTAGGTGTGACGTTATTAGGAAGAACCCCTTACTTGATGTGTATGACTGCAGTAAGATGTAATATATTACAGGTATACATACTGTTTTTATCCATTAAACCTACATTGACAAGATGACAAGGCATCTCATCAACAATGTAATATGAGTGTTAGCTATGGTAAATTACTTCACACGATGGAAGAAAGTATGATTAATGTTTTAACTTTGGGTTAAGTGTGAAGATTATTTTATGTTGAAACATCTGAGCTGGGAAGTTAAAGCAGTGAGTTAAAGCTAACTGTATTTCACCATCATTGCGATGGAATCATGTGGAACCATGTCTATATAAAGTATCACGCTCACCGCTGCTGTTGTATTCAGATCTCCTGTAAGACCTCCTGAAAATATATAGTAAGTTCTCTACAATGTAACTGCAACTATGTTGTACCAAAATCATCATGCTTGTGAAGGAGTGAGTGCAGTTTAAGGATGTGAGGGGTGAAAAAACAACAACAGTGAAAGGTAAGAAAACTAACATTACACTTACGGTCAGATTCATTTTCCAGAGCCTGCAATATAAACACATATTGGAGATGATTTCTTTATCACGTATACAGCTATAAGCAAGGCAGCTATTCTCTATTGTTCATGACTTCTTTAGAGCTTTGATGGGGCTACATACTGTATGATGCACCTACCTCAAGGTGTTCCTGTGCAGATTTGTTACCCATGGTAACTCCAGACACATGAGTGAGATCTATCTGTCTGATGACGTCAGCGTCCAGTGATGTGTCCCCTTCTGACACCGCTATAGCCACGGCCTGGTACAGGAACAGATACTTCTCCTGGTGTAAGACAATGATAAAATGATGCAAGTAGACCAGAATAAAGAACATATGCGCCACACAGCGTGTTGGTGGTGTACTCACTTTTGTCTGAATCATGTTCTTCCTCTGGCCTCTCATGTTGGAGACGAAGCTGACGACGTCTACAGTGCCTTCTGCCGCTGCCTGATCCACGAGACTCTCTATAGCGATGTAGGTACCTGTCCGTCCTATACCAGCGCTAGAGAAGAACAACTAATTAAAGAACGTCACACGCCATTCCTCACGTATACAGTATAAAACATAGAAAGTGTCTGTCACACACAAATCCTCATTTCTACTGCAAACTATATACGCACCAATTATGTCCTCATCAATTGCATATACAATATATGTAATAACACATGTTTCTATATATCAAAAATAAATTGCACGGTATATATAAGAATGGTTACAGAAAGAGTGAATGAACATAGAAACAAATGCTTGTGACATTTTATAAACATCAGTTCAGAATCGTTTCCGTCCGTCCAAGCCAGTTAAATTCTAACCTGCAGTGGACTATCACAGGTTGTGTTTGATGTCTTGTAATGACCTTGACCCTCCACATAAACTCCAGCAAGGCGGAAGTGTCGGGTACACCATGGTCTGGCCAACTTGTGAAGTGGAAGTGGTCAACATGGTGTATCTTGCCTTCCTGACATGAAACATTAAATACAATGTACAGAATTGTTGAAAGGATTGGTGTACATTATCAATGAAATTCCAAAAACCTTTGATCACAAACAACTACAGATATGTATATTTTCGAAGAGGACGTTTTTGGAGAATAATAATTGTTGGTTTTTTTACCTTTTTATTCTGAGCAGACAATTGTGTGACTGTGTAGTTTACTAGTTGTGTTTCTGTCTCCTTGGTAACTGCGATGTCACCGTAAGTGAGAGTTCCTTGCTCTGGCCAGTACTGAAGACACTTCATCTGCAAATGTTTCAAAACTCATACATGTCAAGTAGTATTAATATCCTAGTTCAAAGCGAAGCGAAATCATAAATAAAAACAACATGAAATACTACAACTCAAAGTTATAGCTCATTACATGATCAAGTTGAATTTTATCTTAAACAATATTGGTACAGCCATTAATAGAGGAACACTCAGAATGCCGACTGATGTCATTGTGTGCGCAAGAGCGGATTTCTTTATTTGATATCACTGACATAAATTCCTATTGATTTGAATGTCTCTAGTTCTCCATCTGGTTGGAACCATTTCAGCAGTATTTTCCTTTAACATTATTATCCAGTCACTTCTGAACATTTACTATTTTGGGACAGTAAACGTGTCGAAGATGCTCTATGAAGTTGCAATCATTAATAGTACCTTGCCTCCCTCTACAAGTCCCGTCACCATGACAACTGTTGAACATTCCTCCTGGTAGATCATCCTCCAGAAATCCACCACTACCTCCGGTCTGTAGGGGCCTTAAGGATATCAATTTAACAAATGAAAGAAAAAAATGATGTTCATTCAGAGGTATAAAAACTGTAACCCACAGGAGGGATCACAATAAGAAGATTATACTTCAGCAAATAATCCTAGTGTTTGAGTTTCATAGTGCCAAGTTACATACACACTCACGATCAATCGAAATGAGACAACATTACCAGAATTTCTTATAAAACTGTCCAGCTGCTTTTTTTTTGTAAAGATAAACTAACTGTTCACACATCTACAAGTTAATTCTCGTAAGTCCATGTGTGTGTGTGTGTGTGTGTGTGTGTGTGTGTGTGTGTGTGTGTGTGTGTGTGTGTGTATGTGTGTGTGTGTGTGTGTGTGTGTGTTACTATTTCGCTCATGTTATCATGACATTTTGTTTGTTTGTTGTTTAACGCCGCACTCAGCAATATTCAAGCTATATGACGACGGTCTGTAAATAAATCGAGTCTGGAACAGACAATCCATTGAATATCATCATGAGCATCGATCCAAGCAATTGGGATACGATGACATGCATCAACCAAGTCAGCGAGCCTCGACAAGCACAGCCGCCTTTTACGGCTAGAATGGATTGCTGCCTTTTACGGCTAGAATGGATTGCTGAAGACCTATTCTTTACCGAATAATTCACGGGTCGATGATGCGGCGCCTGTGTGGAGCCTTACCTTGTGCTGCTATGTAACGCTTTTCTGTTTTATATCCCTGGAGAGAAGTTAGAAATATCATTAGCAACATATAAACTATTGTATCAATCATGTAATATAAAACGTCAATGCCAGAAAAATAGTACATAATAATGCCTGTACGTTAATTTGAGAAATACAACAAAAGGAAGCTGTTTCATACAGTGCATGGTTGTTAATTAATTGTTTGTTTTTTAACGACGCAAATATTATACATATGATTCTAACTTTACAACTGAACATGTATTCTGTCCCATCAAGAGTAAATGCAGTAATGCTCAATTTGTATTCCGGGTTTGATTTGACAGCTGTTGCTCAACTCACATCAAGGTAGCTGGCATTGATGTAGTCTGTGTCTTTGTCGTCACTGACGTCGCGCAGCACCACACGGTTGTAGTTATCTGGCAACAAATTGCAGTAACGAATACATGGTCAGTGCATCTGAATAAAATGTACATAAGAGTTAGCATGCTCAATCTCATCTATAAGTTGTACTCACATGGGTAATAGCCTCTGAACCTGTTCTTTCCCTTGTTTCCAGGATGTTGAGATTCATCATAGGAGTAGACGAAGCCATCAGGAAGTCGCTGAAAACACATACAAAAAAATGTGTCATTTACACACAACGATAACTGCAAAGCAGTCACTTACTCTACATAATTATCGCCATACTACGTTATCCTAACTCAGATCTGGAGACCAGATCCACTTAACACGGAGTGTTATTGCCTGGTATGTGCTTGGGTGTGAGTGTCGGTTGTCTCGCGCTTCATTCTCTGGTCAAGCATGGACAACTGAGGGACTACAGTGCAGTCTATCTTGTTGGCAGAGACATTTAACTTTCAGAAAATAGTAAGTAGTCATAGTATCTAGTTAGGCTATGTAAACCAGTGTTGTTTTACAAGGTGTGTGAGTATGATAGTGAAATGTGTTGCCACTGTAAACTAAAGGACATGTGGCTCGTTTTTATGATGAAAAGCTAGACTTAGTGCAGGTTGCGCATATCCTTGTTTATACCATTTGTATAATTATTTTTAACAGGATCACGAGGGGTACAGTGGGGTTTTATGCGTCCCGCATTAGGTTTTGTACAACGAGCCGAATACAACGAACGTATCTAACTTACATGTTTTTATTTGCTTTTGTGAAAGAATTTAAACAAATTCAAAACTTGATGGAAAACAGCTGTTCGACTGAGCTGAGGCTAACTTGTGTTCTGTCACGTGACATTCATTGGCTCGTAAAAAGCGTCTCTGACATGTGGTTTATGATAAAAGTGTTTGTTTATGAACTAGCTAGTATCGATGTATGTATATAATTCAGCATTAGGCTTCCTTTATCGAACTGTGAAACTGTAGAGCTGATCAAGCCGCTTTTGTGGTTTTTGTCATTTCACAGAGTGATGCTCGATGTTGAATAGGTTCATATGTATGTCAGATAATGTGGTGTTGATAGTGGATGATACATACTTATTGGTCTATGCTACAGACAATGGGTGTCAGCATATTGCCGACTATCCTACGACCGTTGGAGTTAGAGCAGACCCTCCGTAAAACGGGATTCTTGTTGGTTGTGTGTTGTGGACTGCGTCACTGTGGTGTGAAGTTCAAGGACAAGGCACGACAGGCTGTTTCAAATGTATCGTGATACGAGGGACTGAACAAGAGCAACTGCACTTTCACAACATTAGCGGCCATGTGCACGAGTATGTGTATGACCTAATATTATCACCACAAAGGTATATCCTACATGTATGCAACACTGCATTGATGGATGTTATTGTACGTTGTGCGATGCGTTTAGTGTGAAACAGTTTGTTGTGGTCAACATATACTCTATGTTGTTAATTATACATGTGCATTTTTTTCTGTGAATTGTGAACATCGATTGTTGATAGTTTAGAAGTAGTGTTGTTCAGCAGTAGTGAAGTTAGCCTAGTAGTCGTTTAGTTCAGTTGTCAGTAAAATATAGTAGTAGGTTAGTTACTTAATTCTGTAAATAGATTAACTTATTCCCTCATTGTGCGTTGTGGTGATTGCAATGTTCTCACGGGCTTGTTCACGACACTGAGAGTTCACCTTAAATTCCTCTTCTGCCCTTGCTAGTGTCATCTCGTCCACTCTTGCCTGAAGCTGTGACACGGGAATCACGTGCCCAAGTCCAGCATCGTCCAGGTTGTAGTAGTTTCTGTCAGGGACATCTGGTGTGTCCTCCACCTGTACAGGCTGGGCTGAGACGTCATAGTCTTCCTCCACCTCCACTCTCTCGAGGTCAAGGTCATCAGTTCCATCTTTACCTATATCCTTGCTCACAGTCGTATATTCAGCGTCCCCAGCAAAATCGCTTTGTGATTTATTCTGGGAACGAACAGTGACTGGTTTACCTGACGTCTTCTTTGAAGTCAACGCTGATTTCTCTGCTTTATCAAATCCGACATTCATGTACATGCCGGTGTCTTCCACTGAAGGAAACAAACAACATTATTTTTTTAAGAGAATGACGAATGGAAAGTAAGTCCTAATCGTGTATAGAAGAAGGCATGAAGTTTACAGTTTGGTCATAGGCAATTACTGTTGAATATATTGGACCTCACAGGAAGTAAATATATTTTAATGGGCAGGTCCATCACGCATCATATTAATATTAAGCCTGTTGAACTTGCATTCTAATGTTCTGTCTTTATGCATGGTATCAGATACAAGAAGTTTTGATAAAGTGTGCAAAACAAAGAGATGAAACTACCTTGTCTGGGTTTCAATTTTTCAGCAATGACTGGTTCGTGAGCAGAACGTCCATGCTTTTCCCCACGTCTTCTTCTAAATGCAAGGACACAAATTGGAATACATTATTCAATAGAACAAGGCCATTCCCTTTCTTTGTAATAGATGTATCCTCACGTATGGTCTTCCAAGACATTATTTTGGTTTAACATTGATATCTCACGAGTTGTCAAAGGCTGACCCGTTCTGGTCAAAACTGACCTGATCAGGATGACTACAATGACAACCATCAGAACCACCACCACGCCGACAACAGCTCCTACTACAGCGGGGATGGGAAACGAAGTGCCGTCAGACTGCTGACTAGGGCCTTGTATGAGATCTAAATGTAGAATGGAAGACGATATACATACATGTGCGCACTTCTCTCATGACTTAAAAAAGTGTTCATTTACAAGGGCCTGTTTATTCATACATTAAATTAATTTGAATCATTTTATCAGCACATAATATCACTCTGTCAATATATCATTAACTGAAACATGACACCCAACCTTTGTGATACCTTAGTATTACGTGTTCAGGCAGGTAATAAATTACAATAAATAATTGTCAGATTTAGAATACCATATGATGACGTGTAAGTATGAGTTTATTTTATTTTCATTTGTGACATCATTATTCATTACACTTGGTAATTATAACTGACATTATGTAGTCTTTTACAGGTATTTAAGGACACATATTGCACAGTATTGGAATTAATGTTACGTTCTGATCATCTGAACTGAGGCACTCTTACCTCGTAAATCTTAATCGTGTACGCATACGTCCAAACTAATGACCTGTGAACCGTGTATTTTCGATATTCTTTTCATACTCTCATTATTCCATTGTAATTCAATCAATACCATCTAGGGGATGTTATCCTTTCCTCGACAAAATTACACTATGGTTACATTTGGACATTAAATCACATTTTAGCATTTCCTTTCCATTATGAAATGTTTGGTCAGAAACAGCAAAGTATTAGTACCAGTTTCAATTTATTTCTCGTAAGTCTGACGGAACCACTTTACAAACAGAAGCTTTTCATTTCTATACCAATGTCGCATTCAAAGACTCTTGTGCAAGTTTCACATGATCTGTAACAGGCAGAACTGCAGGCTGGTGACTTAACAAGTCATTTTTTAGGGATACCCTGCTACCCAAGTAACAGAAAAGAAAGTTCAAACTAAACTTTATTCCTTTTTTTTAAAGGTCCCATTTGTAAATGTTTGCAAAAACAAACTGAAATGTTATATTGTTTCACCCCAGTGTATTACCCAATGCTTCCATACAGGACATTTTGTTACTTGCACATGGCATATCGACTTTACAAATTCCCTAAGTTATACTCTCATCGCTTACAGAATTGTTCCACAACATATGTTACACCCCTTCCTTACTGACACCACAGTGTGTGCCCTTTCTCCCTTGAACCGGCTACAACCTGTCATACTCTGGTGTATCATAATGTGATCACCTGTACAGTCAGCCAGTGTCCATCCTGTCTCACATCCACTGTCACAGGCCCCTGTTGAGTTACATGAAGAATTCCCTACACAGTGTCTGGAGGAGCAGGCTCCAAGACATTTTGGTCCATAATGTTTGGAATCACATTCTGGAATAAGATGGCAGAGGGGTCATATTTCCTATATTTCCTATAAAGTTTAATCGAAGGTTTATTATTTAAGAGAAACTGAAAAGTGTCTTTGGATCAAATCAATTGCTTATTCAATCACTCGTTTAATTAGAATTCACTTCAATGACAACAACCTTCCACCCTTATCACCCCATCCTCATGAGTGACATAATGTGATTACCTGTACAGTCAGCTTGAGTCCATCCTGCCTCACATCCACTGTCACAGGTCCCTGTCGAGTTACAGGAAGAGTTCCCTACACAGTGTCTGGAGGAGCAGGCTCCAAGACACTTTGCTCCATAATGTTTGGAATCACATTCTGGAAAAAAGATGGCAGACATATCACATTTGTTACTTTTTCTACAGATATATATATATTTAAAAACGAAAATTGTCTTTGGACCAAATGTATGTTTATTCACTTACTCGTATAATTACGATTCATTTCAATGACTCACCTTCTTTGCAATCAACACCCGTCCATCCAGACTCACACGTAAAATCGCATGTCCCTGTCACGTGATCACATGACGAGTTTCCTGCACAGTGTCTGTCAGAGCAAAGACTGGTGCAATTTGCACCATATGTTTTGTTGACACATTCTGTAAAGAAATAACTGAAGACGTCATTGGGGGTTTCATAGCTGGATATAAACCCTTTTTCGTCATGGTACAAGAGTGACGTGAAATGTTCCTTCCATTTTATGACCAATGTATTCTGATTTGTCTTCTTTCTCTGAATCCCACGTGACTAGGTAATTAATGTGTCTTTGTTTTGAATACACTTTCAACATGCTTTACCTTGTGTGCAGTCCTCATCTATCCAACCAGGAAGACATCCTGTGTCACATGCTCCACTGCGAGGGTCACATGACGTATCTGCAGTTGCACATCTCCGCTCAGCACAGGTTTTGTTGCAGTTAGTGCCATAATGGGTGTTGTTGCAAGCTATAAAAAATAAACAAGGGTCATAGTATTTGTTTTTCTTATAAATGGGGATAATGAAGCATTGATTAGCAAAACGTGCCAGAAGGTCGGTTCAACAAAATGTACAAATCGAGCCAATAGGTAATGGTATATATCTTTTTAAGGAACTCTGATATAAATGAAACTAGTTATTCCTATACTTTAATCTGGACTTACTGTAGCTGAAGCCCTAAGGTCGCTTTTTGCAAGAGGGCCCTTATCTATAGGACACTGACTTGGTCACACCAAAAGTCCTCCTCACCTGTGTCACATCTCTGTCCCTGCCACCCTGGTCTACAGTCTCCAGAACAGAATCCAGTCAAGCGATCACAGGTTGAATTCAGGCAGTTGCAAAACGCAGTACAGTTAACCCCGTACATTCCTGGATTGCAGACTGTTGCATGGTAAAAGCAAGATTAGTACATTAAAGTGTATTGAGATCGGGAAAGCAAGGTGACGTGTCATGAAATGGGATTTAACTTCGCGTTCAATATAGTTTTACTTGTATAGATGCTGGTTTTATAGTATTGGCCCACTAATTAAGATCCCATGCTACAGTTTAATATGCCTACCGTACAAAACCACAGACCTTCCACTCCATGTACAGACACTCTATCCACTACACCATGTTGGGGGTTGGTCGAGGAATGACACATACGGGAATAGTACGGGCTATACAGTTTGGATGAATAGCGCATAACGCAGTTGTGTGTGTTCTTGATTAAAACGAATGTTCATATCAATGTTATATTAATTGATCATACAGTTCACTAATAGAAGGGAGAATTATCAATGGATGAACACCCGGAAATGAAAAACGTTTGGTACTGTCGAGCTGCAAACATATTTAAAGCACTTTGTGTCGTAAGCTTGCACTTTAGAGTGGTTAATGAGAGGTGGACAGTATTTATTGAAACAGTGTCACATGTTTCAATCTATTTCCCACAGTTAGCATTCTATCTCTCACCTCACATATATATTTAGATTTGACTGCAAACAGTTGGTGTCCACTGTATGCTTCTTCATCTACTAATTCCAATATGACAAGCTGTGTGCAGCAATATCTTACACAGAAATGACACACGGCGATGCCGTCATCACTGTAGTACGCTAATGCACGAACAGGAGCAAAATTATTCACATTCAAATTTGCTTACATGATGTTCTTCGAATTATCCTCCCATCCATTCAAAGCTATATCTCAGCAAATATCTGCTACTGACATTGTACAAATATTCTACATCTATTCGCCATGTCTACAGATAGACTGAGGTCACTTGCTCCTTTCATTATATGACTCAATATAGAAAAGTCAGCTTGACGGAAAGAAGCCATGTATCTCGTCTTACTTTTAATGCCGCGGATGTGCCGTCGGTGTCCCCGTTTTGTGAGAATCACTAACTGAACATTCGAGACATAAATCATTGGAAAACTACATGAAACACCTTGTGTAGATCACGGGTCTGTTCTTATGCTGATGGGACCTTTCCTGTCGGAAGCCGTCACTGACAAATACAGCCCGGCAGGTACGCGTTCTTCAGTAGGCGATCATATACCCCACATGTCTTACTCGCACTTGTTATACAGCAAAGGTGTTTGTCGTACATTTGGACGATCAATAATCTATTTTATGAATTTAATTCGAAATTTCATTCAATGTTGTCTACATTCATAACTCCTACCACGAACAGATTACCTCTTTTGACGGCTTGAAACAAACGCTAAACAGAGAATTGATAGATATATCATAAATGCCATACCTTGACTCATGAAACGTTATGTTTGTTGTGTCCTGACTATTATCTGCCAACATAACGTTTTCGCGATAGAAACAGCAAGGCCGCGGGAAATCTCAAAGGTGACTGATCAAACTGATCCAAACGTGAAAACTATCTGGAGATAGCAATCATTTGTATCAAATTGCTATGCTTACTGTTATTATTATTTTAAATATATTTAGTAAACGCTGCAACCAAAATAACAACAACATAATAACACCATATTGGAATATATTATTCCTGATAATTATGGCTTCAGATATAATATGTACCTCTTAATTTATATATTATATTTAGAGTACATTCTACATAAAGAACAATATGATTTTTATGACATTCTTTGACGATTCGATTGGAAATTTAACAAAATGATACTACATACGTTAAGGTTAGTAAGAAGAGTGTTAGACGTACGTGCCATATCAATGTAACAGTTTATTGAAAATAATAAAAATTATATATAGCAATCCTTTATTCTATGTGCTGTGTTGTTAATAGCTGTAATAGGTATGTACCGTGTATATATTTAGCAGAATATAGAGCCGACGTACCGCATGCGAAAGCGACCAAGACACAATATGATTAAAATTATGTCGAGTTCAATAATTAATTTTCAGACTCTAGATTCAGAATCTTAAATTTGTGATAGCGTGCTTACTAATATTAACATTCATACACATTCACGTGTATTGTGTAATCGTGCCCTATGGACATTAAAGATCCGGGAAAGAATAGGTCTTCAGCAACCCACGCTTGCCGTAAAAGGCGACTATATGCTTGTCGTAAGAGGCGACTAACGGGATCAGGTGGTCAGGCTCGCTGACTTGGTTGATGTATGTCATCAAATCCCAATTGCGTGAATCGACGATGTCAATCACTGGATTGTCTGGATCCAGACTCGATCATTTATAGAACGCCGTCATATAGCTGGGATATTGCCGAGTGCGTCGTTAAACAACAAACAAACAAACTATGGACATTAATAACTGTATGAAGTCGAAATGGTTGGCCATGCAAATGCTTTAAATATTTTCACATTCAATGAGCCTTATTAATGTAAGCTTAAGGGAAATACACATTGTCGTTCCCGAATGTACCGAGCATTCCGTCATTATCGAGAGGCGATAAAAATATACAAAACCTAACAATAAACTCGTTTTGAACGGGCTGTACTGCAATGTATTTACGTTTCTTACTACTCTGTTCAGAATATTTCTTAAGAACAACAAATTTAACTGAAATTATATGTAACATGGGTGCACAATCAACAATTGAAACTCAAATATCGCAGAAAAAAGGTCGGTAACCACTTCACTAATCTCACCATATTTCGCAATCTATGGCATAATATAACATTTAACTGACCATGTCAAACCTTTGATGATTGTGGAGATGATGGTTATTAGGTGGATTGTTTGAAATCTTAATTTACAGTTGGTTCAATTAGCTGATAAGGATCATAGTTTAATGCCGATAAACGCCAACCACGGTATTACATCTTTGGTATTAAGCCTGAGGTCTAATCGATTGTAATAATATATTTATATCATTAAACATTAGTTCTACTCAATACAACTTCATGTAACATAAGGTACTTCACCACAGTTCTTCAACGCAGTGTGTACTGCTGGTGGTGCATCTTTCCCAACAGCATCACACTTATGGAGAAGAAAAACATATACATAGACGAAAAGCATTCCTGAAGAGTATGCTGTGTTATTTCAGAGTGTTAAATGTATCAAAATACCTTATACTTTAAAACGCCACAATAGTGTTAACTGGTAATTCTGCATACAAGCTTCTTGAATGGATTTACTAATTCACGATCAACGGGATACTTACTCCACACCTGTACTTCAACAAAGTCTAAAACAACACCATATCCATCATTATCTGTCTCTGTGTATCCAGTCAGGTAGCGCCAGGTCCCAGGACAGGTGACATTCAGTACGTCAGGGATGTCTGTACCGTTAGGACGCCCTTTTACGCTGTGGCATAGAGTTCCTTCTTTGGGGTCAGATGAATTTATCATAGATATGTAGAGCTGCACGCCATTACGTCTAAACTTGTCTGAAACAAGTGTAAATGCATACTTTACATAATATAGGAAGTATCCATCAATGAAGTATAACCATACACCCTACGGTGTAGGTTCATATTCATTTTAGATAAAGCCGTTTAGAATTACATTCAAAAGCCATTGCGACAAACTTAGGCATAAAAGGTCATGTCACATTATATACACACATAGTAGATATATATAATATAATTGAGGATCATTTAAAATTATAGTTACATGTGACAGCCTTCCAGGAACCATGAATGAATAAGTTTACTAAATGTGATTAATATCAATTACGTAAATGTACATATACGTACAGAATGTATTGAAGTACAGGGTAACGCTTGCTGACTGTGATTGTGTTTGTAGATCCACCTTCCACCAGGCGGGAGTGTTTGTATACGGCTTGGTGACAGCCGAGTATTTGTAATCGTGTGCAAGTATTACTCCATCGACAGCTGTACTGGCGGGTTGATACGACCTCCAGACTGAGCTCATCCATGCGGGTTTCTTCTCAGCAACGTTTGTCTCAATACCTGATAAATAAGAAGAATGGTAAATCTGAACATGAAAGATGACGAGAGCTGGTAATGATAACATCTTGAACAGGCGGTGTTCGTAAGTATTCGCACAAATATGTACTCTAAACATACATATTTTCAGTTTGCAGTACACCGCAAACATAATCGTCGTTTTTTTTCGTATTTGGTCATTGGAAGGAACAACGATTAAAAATCATTAAAATTGGTTAATTGATGAGTGTCCAGAAAGTGTCCGGGAAAGCGCTGAGTTTTTCAAGCGTAAACGAGACGTAAAAACGAAGCTTTTTGCTCCTCCTTGTACAAATGTCAGTGGCAAATTGCATTGCGCCGGTCACTTCCATTGGCGCACGTGATGCCAAAGGCTTCCTTAAGAGGTTTCGTATTTCTGGCTGCGATAGCACGCGTTTCTCTCGTTTCTGTCCCGGACAGTGAAGCAATATTTGCAGATAAGTCACTTTTATGAATTCAGGCACGCGCCAAGAAGTCAAACGAAACCATTTTTCCAAGTTTACTGAGGTCACCTATCCCTCCGCAATGCACAGTTACCGCTATCTGACAATCGGTTGTGTATTATTTGGTTACAACAGAATGAAAGTAAATCTTAAGAAATATGAGCTGTTGCTTGGAGCGATTAGGATGGACTATTACTGAGTTTTTTAGATACGTACACTCAACATTGTATTTGTTATCGTTTACAAGTCTGTTTATCTGTCCTCAAGATCAAATACCCTAACTACTCTCTGCAGCCACGTGACCACTCTCCGCCCTCTGACGTCACAGGCAGAACGTTATGCTTTGTTTGTTTCTTGTTTAACGCCGCACTCAGCAATATTCCGGCTATACAACGGCGGTCTGTAAATAATCGAGTCTGGGCCAGACAATCCAGTGATTGACATCATGAGCATCGATCCACGCAATTTGGATCGATGACATGCATCAACCGAGTCAGCGAGACTCACCACCCGATCCCGTTAGTCGCCATTTAGGGCAAGCATGGGTTGCTGAAGACCTATTCTCCCCCGGATCTTCATGTGTCTTATGAACCAGTGTCTACTTTCGCCTACAGTCTTATTTAAAACAACTTAAAGCACCAGTGGTTTATGTTATTTCAAGTTGACCCCTTCAGGTACATTTGAGACTAACCCAGGCAGCAGATAAAAATGATAAAATAATTGTTGTTACGAGTTGTTACGAATGGATCCTTCACACAGTATCTGTCCATAATAGAGAGGTATCCGCGATTTGAGAACAATATATTTCTGGCAGTGAATAAAAATCAAAAGTCTTACTTATTGCTAAAATAGTGTGCCATGTTCTAAACAAGATCTAATGAATTTCAAATTGCACACAAATCCACCAAAATCCAGTTGATTCATTGATACTCCGCGTGGTCGGTATGAACAATGATCTTGTGTTACTGATCAACAATGAGAATCTGTTCAGCAGAGTTTCTTTAATATATCTCTTATGACCAGTTGTTTTAGATTAGCTGCACTCATTAATATCTTAATTATAACAGCGTCTTACTTATCCTCTACTCAATGTTAACTAACAAAATATTTAATTCCTTAGTTTCTATCACATTACACATTTCTAGCACCATATACACCGCGACCTATATACCTGGCTGGTGTTGGGATTTATCCATTACAGACAAACGTACGTAATTTTTGAGTGAAGGCGAACTACCACACCCCGTCACGATATAAATCCGAACATTTCTTATGAATACATTACAGATATAATGGAAAATAAACACAAAAATTGAATATAATTTCGAAACAAGAACCAAGCATAAATTTTTACACACAACATTATATGAGAAAAGTATTTAGCTTAAATGTAATTTGAAATCTTGATGTTACCCTTTAAAGTAATATTATTGATGAATAGATTTATTCGTGTTAATGATTTTTTTATTTCTCTCCATTTTGGAATTATTAATTCGTCAGCTGCTTGTTTTCCGATGGTCATTAAACACCAGCTGCCTCCATGTGTCATGGTCCAGCATAAGGGCCAGCACAGGGCCTGTTAGTCTGTCATTCAAACTCTGAAACAAATATATCCAACACCGTCTATGCAAGTCTAAAATATTTGGCAAGTCTAGATTACTGCATTATCGGGGAAAATGAAGAAAGTCTCTGGGCTCCTTTTTATTATAATTAATAACTATAATTTAGCAACTGTTTTGTTCTTTAAAATATGTACATTTCAGAGACTAGATCATATTTACAGTTACAGTAACACACAATACAGTAAATGAGTCATGTCCCACTTGTCATATCACGGCGTATCAGGCAAAAGCTGCACACATTTTACTTATGTTATGTTTAGTTTAGTTCAATTATTATCAAGCAAACTTCGAGTTGGTTTGAGTATATATACACTCAATAACAAAAGTTCCTGTGACACCAATATTTTAGTGTATTTTTTAAACAAGTAAAGTTTGGTTTTCAATATTGTACTTCATGTATGGAATCAAGTCACAAAAACGCAACTGCTACAGAAAAGCATGCATTCCATGCAAAAGTTGACTTTGATGCAAGCTGCATGCATTTCACTACCCAAGAATGGGTATAACAACATGTGGGTTAACGGGATTCCATATGAATTGTTTAGCATCGTGCTGACAACAACCACGCAGAAAAAGAACAAAATTATGCAATTATTCAACATTACGAAATGCCACGCCTGTCCGAAAATGAGCGTCTGCGAGCCATTGGTATGCTTGAAGCAGGATCGAGTCAATGTGATGTTGCAAGACATTTTAACGTCCACAGAAGCACCATTTGGTGTTTATGGCAAAGTTGGCAACAGACGAATGCAGTCAGAGACCATCCTTGGAGTGGCAGGCCACGCGTAACCAATATTCGACAAGACAACTGGACAACACACCAACGAAATCGATTCCAGCCAGCAACAGTGACCGCAAGAAGCATCCCTGGCCTTCGACGGATATCTTCACAAACCGTACGTCGTCGCCTCAGATGTGCAGGGATTGTCCCCAGAAGACCCGTCAGACGTCCCATTCTGACAGGAAACCACCGTCAAGCACGTCTACAGTGGTGCAGACAGAGTCTACGCTGGAGGATCATGCAGCGGGGACAAGTTCTATTCACGGACGAGTCTGCACAGCGATGGACGGATTCGAGTGTAACGACGTCGAGGTGAACGTTACGTCAATCATTGTGTCATGGAAGAAGATCGGTTCGGGGGCGGCAGCGTTTTGGTATGGGGTGGGATTATAGCAAGACAGAGGGCCCGTTTGATAGTGGTAGAGGGAAATCTCAATGGACAGTGCTACCGCGACGAGATCATCGGCCCTTTTGTTCTACCTTTTAGCGCCGTCATGGCCTAGGCATTACCTTTCAACGCCCGGCCTCATATTGCTCCACTTGTTCAGGAATCTCTTCAACAAAACAACGTAATAATAATAATAATAATTGATTTGTAAAGCGCCTAATATCCATCGACAGTTGATTACTGGCGCTGTGACAAGGTTAAAAAGTAATATCTATGTACATATGCCAACAATAAGGAGATCTATTGAAAAGCTGAGGTGAAGAAGTTGGTTTTGAGGAGAGATTTAAATCTTTCCTTAGAAGCAGAGTTTCTCAGATTCAAAGGCAAAGCGTTCCATAACTGTGGACTGCAAAAGGAGAAGGCACAGTCAGACATAGCAGAAGTAGACAGAGGCTGATACAGTAGAGTTCCACCAGAGGATCGGAGAGCACGCTCTGGAGTGTACAGAGATATAAGATCTTTGAGATAGTCTGGATAGTCGCTATTGTTGAGGCAGTCGTGAGTGGTGATACATATCTTATAGTGTATACGAAAGGAGACTGGAAGCCAGTGTAGTGCTTTGAGGACAGGACTGATGTGATTGGATCTTGGAACTTTAGAGATGCATCTAGCCGCAGAGCTCTGAATGCGTTGTAGCTTTGATATGGCTTTCATGGGAAGATTAGCATACAATGCATTGCAGTAATCCAGTTTGGAGGTCACAAGACATTGCATCAACAATTTAACTGTTGGAGTATCAAGTAGGTGGCGGACTTTACTGATGTTATAGATGCTATGGTAGCATGCTCTGCTGGTTAGTGAAATATGAGTGTCCATGGCCATTGTTGAATCAAAGGTGATTCCCAGATTACGGGCACTGGCAGTTGGGTACACAGTGGTATCACCAATATAAAGGTATACAGAGTCAGCGTGAAGCTTTCTGACTTGCTGTCGTGAACCAAGGATTAAAAACTCAGTCTTCTCTTCATTGAGTTTGAGATAATTGAAGCTCATCCAGGATCGTATGTCATCAATATAGCGCTCAAGGGCGGCGAGGTTCAGAGACAGTTCGGAAGTTTTAAAGGAAATGTAGATCTGGTTATCGTCCGCAATTTTTTTATAAGTGGTCCGAGTTTTTTTAGCTCTGTGTGGTTGCACTGTACACAGTAATGAGATTTGGCCTATGTTTCAGTTTACACACCAAGGGCTTGAACAAGTGACGCGTGTTGTAATGAATCCCATATGCTTTATGTACGTTTATTTTTTCTGCGTTTATGTGTACATATATTATGGAGACGCCCGATTACAATCGTATGAAAAACAACGAATACACTACAAGGGGCATATTCGTGTTCATGCATTTTCGAAATTTCGCACATTTCAAGTGTGAAGAAAAGCACAGCTTCAAACAATGTAAAGAGAGATAGAATAATAATCAATATGGAAATTGTCAATGTCATGGAATGATTCTGATAGTATGCATTGTCAGTTTGTAAATATGCATTGTGGTACATGGGCAGGAAATCCGGGTTAGAATTGGTCCCTATCAACCTAAGCCTGTCGTGAAAGACTATTGAATGGATAGGGTTGCTGGCGTGTCAACGTACCCCGACATGAATCGTTGCTCATAGTATCAATCACTAGATCGTATGATCCGAACTCGATTATTTACAGACCGCCTACATATAACTGGAATATTACTAAATAGCACACACGCACTGTTCAAACCGGTGCGCTGTAGCCATGTCAAATAGAGACCATATACATACATGTATGTCGTTCAAACCAACTTACTCACTCTGTGTCGAATATTCAGCAGAAAATATACATATTAACCAGCTCTAAGATAAGATATTAGATGTTTACAAGCAGTCGAAAAGAAGAGGACCCATTCGCTGATTAGGTTCCTGTTTACCCGAGACATTAATTGGCCATGTTAGATGATATGAACAAAGGTTAGCCGCCTGAAGGGCCATTCTGGACTTGAGCTGTGTGGTATGAGCTGTGATGTCCTGACCCGATTTCCTTTTGCTCTTGGAATGGCAGTAAAATTATACATTTTGTATGTACACGTATACACTCAGTCTAAATGGTTCGGTGAATTATATAAGAAGTGGCTTGTGAATATATAACATGGATGATATAGTTCAACCAGGAAAGATATCGATGAAACGTACATGTACGTGATCATGTTCATTTTCATTGTAGTAATGTCCATAGAATTTAATCATAATGAAAAGGCGATAGTGTAGCGCGGCATGGACGATAATATAACTATGATATCCTTGCTTGTCATCGATGTATTGACATTGGATAGTTGACGACATTGCGATGTATATAACTTCAACAACGGAATGTACCGGTGTCAGCAAACTAACATTTAGTCCCAGAAATACAATTTTCGTAGTTCCTTTTCAAATACATGTACATTCTCTAGGGTCTAGGAGACTAAGTGTCAGTATTGCTTGGAGAACTGGCAAGGAGGAAGAATCGCGCTGGGATAAGCCTTGACCAGTGAAGTGTTGGAAGAATAGAACAAGGGCACAGTGGGGTATTAACGGGATTATTTTGCTTTCTGGGTTGTTAAAATTTGAAACTAGTGCCGCAATTCTTAAGAAAGCTGCTTTCTTAGTGGCTAATGTCGACTTCCTGTTTGTAATTTCATTGGTCGCTCAAAGTTCGCGAAAGGTCGTCCTGTAACGGGATGTCCTGAGCGGTAGCGAGAACTTGTGTCTGATTTTAATGAGATTGAGGTAATCTGGGCATGCGATTAATCCTGTTTTGTTTATTTAAAGCAGTAATTGTTTATTGTTAAGCAAGCTTATCTCTGCAGCCGTTGTAATAAGCAGCTACCAGCCGACCCGTCTCGCATCAAAACACAGGCTGTGTACTCGTGGGCAGATGACCACGGAGTGCGCTGGTCACTGTGTCGGATTAACGAGACTGATTAATGAGTGATTTCAGCAATTCGTTGAAATTAGGTGTGTATTTTGGGTGAGTGACTTAAAATTTAACGTCGCATCGGCATTTTTCCAGCCCTATAGCGACGAGACCAAGTTAATATATTAACAATACAGTCATGTACAATTCAGTTGTATTTAAAAACAAGTTGTGAAACATATTGGACCATACTTTATTTAAAAACAATTGACGAAACATATTTGAGCATAAAAATAGAATTAATAGAGTTTAAAACACGGACCACCAGTAACGAAAGCGAGGCCACCTCGCTGGGGATCATGGGGACTTACAGTGCCTCTGCTTCCTAGGAGCATGATACCCAGCAGGAGTTACGTCATCACTTTAACCACTGGTTGTTGTGCACAATGCTAGCCAATATTTTAAAAAATACTCGGAAATGAGTTGGCTTTAAAACACTGGTTGATGATAGTTACATAAATTATGATAGGATTTCGTGTCACACAGGGAAACAATAATTTTACGATACTTTAACCCCGTGGACAGAGCCTTCAATAAAGTCAGGGGATAATAGCATCACACCAAATTACAAAAGAAGCATTTAATTGTTCACATACATATTTAAAATTTATTATACAGATCAATTTCTTTCAAGTAATTTAAGATGAGATGCCCGCTGACACGGGAAAAGAAATCTTTCAGATTTACGCTTTGATAATGTCCACATAGTCAAGCAATATATGCTTGACGGTGAACAAGGATAGACTTAGGAAATTTTAAGATTGGTTTTGATGTTAGATATATGTCAAAGCTGTTAGGACAGATTTGGCCTCAGCCGTAAAT